AGGGTCCTCTGGGGTAGCGCAGCGAAACCCCGCCTTCAAAAAAAAAAAAAAAAAAAAAAATCCTGATGGGTGTTTGGGCCGCCTGGATTTCCCGGGCGGCGGCCCAGCCTAGCTAGATGTTGCTTTCTTCCTGTACAGTAGATCTGTAGATTCTGTATTTGCCTTAGGCACTCAGCCCGTAATGGAAAACTTAGAAAAAGGTAGGCAGGTGGGGGGTGGAGGGGTTGGGGAGGAATGAAGGAGTAAAAGAAGAAAATTCTCATTAAAATTGATTAAATTGAAATCAAAAAATAAATTATGGTACACCGGCCTTTCAAACCACCAGTACGCCTGAGGCTGTCTTTCCAGACCCGAATTGTGCTGCATGCCAAAGAAAAATGAACCGGCGCAGGCATGCTTTTTCAGTTCTTGGTTGGTGATGCCAACCATTTTGGTCCAGTAGCCCCGAACTCCAAAAGTTGCGGCTACTATATTTTATTATTTTCCCAGCTATCCCTTTTGCCTGGCCTCCCAGTTTCTATTTTATGGGGTGGAAGAGCCAGCGCAGATTTTCCCAGCATGCAGTATAGTATGGCTCTGCATTTGGCCAAAGGAGGAGGAGGGTGAGGATGATTTCAAGGGCTCACAACCAGATGAGGATGAGGATGAGGAAAGGGGCAACACTGAGGAGGGAGATGATGCAAGAGGAGGTGAACTGGGGGTCCGTGATTTCGAGCAGTCCATTTGATGACTACCGGTAGGCAACAAGGGAGAGGAGGAGGAAAAGAACAATGAACGTCAAGAGTGGTCACACGATACAATACATACAGGGGAGGGTTATGGGAGAGGGTTAGGAGAGAGACTGTTGAGGGGCATTTCAAGATGCTATGCATGCTTCGTAGGTGAGAAGGTGGACAGGGGGTTGGTTGTATGGATAGATGCTGACCTGAGTCACAGGATGGTAAACATATGTGTGCGGGTTCGGGGAACAAAAGGGTGACAAACTTGTGGTACGAGTTAGGCGCACAAAGATGGTGGAGCACACCGCAATGCTTTGCAGCACTGCGCACACAATTCGGGCCCGTGGGGGGTGTTAAAGCACCAGTACATGGGCACCTGGGCCGCGGGCCTGACACCTCAAATTCTGGAGGCGCGAGACGAAAACGCGACCGCCGATCGAATTTATCAATGGCGGGCCCAGCTTTTGATGTTTCGGTCTCATTTTCTTGTTGCGACAAGTTTCGGACTGCAAGACTGGGGCCGTGTACTTGTGGTTTAAGTGCTGTAACAAGTTGCACTCAGTCAGGAGTAAGGGACAGTGTCAATGAAGGTGCAAGATGTTCAAACCACCAGTACGTTTGCCGGCCAATTTTCGCCAACGCGCCCACATGCACGCCACAAGTTTCTGGGGTTGGCCTATTGGAGCAAAAGGGATGGCGGCGCCAGCTAAAACCACATGGGTGCGTGCCTTTTTGGCACGCAGGGTGTTCGATGCTTGGCAAGGGAAGGGTCAAACGTACGGGTGTGTGGTTTAATCAGAGGGTCAGTGGGAGTGTTGAGGAGGATCAGACAATGATATACACACCAGGAGGGGTAAGAGGGGGCTGGGAAGAAGGGTTGGAAGGTGGGGGAATCTGGAGAAGCAACATGGCAAGGTGGGGGGGAACTCGTCTTGTAGTTGTCAGGTATAGCTGATGTAATTTGTTGTCTTTTTTTTTATCTGTTGTCAAATCTGATCTCTCTTGCCTCCCGAAACTTGCTCGTGCATCGTTCTAGTGTGCTTCTCACTTTTCTGTCAGATTCGTGGTGTTGTCTGTCAGCATCCATGCCGAAAAAAGGTTCATCGGTCCAAATTTGTAATGGTGATTTGATGTTGTTTACTTATCAAGAGTCTCTGCAATTTTAATAAGTTTAATTTGTCCCCACTTTTGCGGACAAGGCAGGCAGCACCTTGATGCCTTCGATATTCAGACCTCCACCTCAGCAGGTTAACCAACGGGGCCTTGGCTGCGAAGTTCGGCTCAAACTTTGTTCCTTTGGAACTTGTCACCCTCAATCGCCTCTGTGTTGCCCACGTCGACTACTTGCCAAGTGGCCCTATCTCAGTTATCACCTCTGTGTTGCCCACGTCGACTACTTGCCAAGTGGCCCGATCTCAGTTCTAGATACCCCAGGCTAAGGGCATACTCACACTAGGACCTTTTTAATTGTTTACGGGGGGTAATTGCGGCCAGGTACATCGGCGTCCGGCCCTAATTGCGGGCAGATACATTTAAGATAAAGCGAGTGTGAGTACGCCCTAAGTGAAGAGAGCCGTCTATGTGCTATGTGCGGTTGCTATTGAGTTTCTCGTCGATATTAGCTGATCAATTTTTGGCAGTAACTCCACGAGCATACCGAATAAATGAAAAAAATGAACAAAGCAACCCTTTGTTGATGGGCAGAAAGGGTCCTTTTTTTCCCTTTTTTTTTCTTTTTTTTTTTCTTTTCTTTTTAACCACTAGTACCTTTGCCGCGTGGGAAAATAGCGGGCCTCGGTTGGTCCTCTGACTTTTTCGGAGGCCGAAACGAAGTGACGACCGCCGATCAGATTTATCAATGGCAGTCGTCGTCGGGCCCGACCTCCGAATCTTTAGGAGTTTGGGGAAACTGCCACTTTTCCCTATTTTCCCAACACTGGCGGAGGTACTAGTGGTCTAATGGACCAGGAATCAGATATTGAATTGATCAGAACAAAAGCTAGACTTGATCTATTTTTAGCCGAAAGGTCGGAAAGGCCGAAAAAGGTATTGGGAAAGGGTCAAAAATTCTCCAAATTAAGTTGCCTCTAACTTGCCCGTGACTCACATGTTTTTTCTGCTCGTCTATCTCTCTTTGCGCATGACTTTCACTTAGGCATTTGACGAGGCCATCGCCGAGCTGGATACGCTGGGTGAAGAATCTTACAAGGACAGCACATTGATAATGCAACTCCTGAGAGACAACCTGACGCTCTGGACCACAGACATGCAGGCAAGTATCGATCAGACGCCCAAAAATCAGTAGTTGCTCAGACGGTTGACATTAACCGCCCAACTCCAGAGCTACGTAGCCTGAAGCAATGACGGGGAGGCCAGTTTCCGACCCTCGCTAGGACAGGCCACAAGGTGCTAAACAAATCAAATTGCTTGCCATCGCAGGGCCTTGGAACCCCAGTACATCCGAGCCTCTTTTTGCCTTGCGGATTCCCCTGCGCGCCAAGCTTTGCCAAAATGCCAGCGCGACACTTTTTCTTTTCTTTCGGCTGGCACTGCCAAGGTTTTGGTTCGGTAGGCCTGAGCCTCTGAAATTTTAGGACTGGCTCGATTTCGACTCTCAAGTTTGCCTGGGCAATGTACTGGCGGTTTATATCCAAGTACGTTGCCTAGATCTCAAAAAAACGATAATTTTATTGATAAAACATTTACGATCATCATGCTCAACACGGTCGAACACCAGCGTAACCCGCCCCGCCCAGTACTTCTCAGGTAGCACAGGTCGTTGCCCAAGATTTCGAGAGCCCACACACTTTGGTCTGATCACAGGTCTGTCGCTCAGAAGTCTTACATTTTAAAAATTATTCCATCCTTCCTAGACCTACTAAATGTGCGGAGATGCCCGAAGGCCAGTTTCTGACCATCGCCAAGGCAGGCCACATGACTGTGACAAGAAACGGCGAGAGCCCATCCTTTTGTTCGATGACGGGTTGTTGTGGTTACAATGTACGATTGGATAGTAGTGATAGGGCACTGCGTAGGACCTTCCATCGGTCCCTTTTGCAGGTTGCGCTTCGATGGCATGGCCGTCAGCCTCCTTCGCACCTTCTTACCGGACCAATTTGCAGTCGCCTTTGGGGGGGGGAGAGGGGAGCCAGCCCAGATATAGCTGTAGACAAGTTCACCCAATAGACAAGTTCACACAATAGACAAGTTCACCCAATAGACAAGTTCACCCAATAGACAAGTTCACACAGTAGGCAAGTTCACTCAATAGACAAGTTCACCCAATAACAAATGCCCAGCACTCAGTGGAAGAGCCAGTGCAGACAGCTATACACCAGTTCATGCAATAGCAAATGGGGAGCACTTTTGGTGGAAGGGCCAGCGCAGCCAGCTATAGACAAGTTCAGGCGATAGCAAATGCCCAGCACTGGATTTAGTGACTTCTTTATTGTCCCGTTTGGCTGAATGCTTTAGCAGTCCTTGTCCGGTTAGGGGCCGTACCTCAGATTGGGCCTGAATTTTTATGGTTTTTGGGGACAGCAACCAGGCAGCAATTATCGATGCAAAGTTCGAGTGTTGGTAAGCGGGCCTCCTTCAGTCTGGGATGCAGGGCAAATAGATTGCCATCGCTGTTTTTTTTTTTTCGCTTTTTTTTCCTTCTGAAGTTCTGATTAAACCACTACTACCTAGCTCACTCTTGGGAAGAATGGGAAAACTGGCAGGTTTGAAGTTTCCATTTTTCCCAAATTTTTCGGGGGTCGGATGAGGCTCAGGCCGCTTGGCAATTGGGCCTTGTGGGCCCATTCGAAAAACAGAAAAAACAACAAAAGACCATGTCAGGGAAGGGCCGGAAGGCCATGCACAAAGTTGTGCTCACACCAAAACTCACAAGAAAGTATCTAACAGATTCTAAGATTTTTTTCTAACTACTATAGTGGCCAGTTTCAGGTTGTCATTGTTTGTGTTTTGCTTTTCTTTCTTTTTTTTTTTTGGTTTGGTGCCCTGCCAGGGAGGCACGGCGCAGTCCACGGGCTGCCGACATTTTGTGGAGGAGGGCATGCCCACACTACTACTATGCAGAATGTATGAACCCACATTCCCACCCCAAGTTCCGTTTCGATTTTTTTTTTTTCATTTTTTCTTCTTCTGTGGACCTGACACCCCTGCTGTAACGTCCTCACTGAGGGCATTATACTCACACAAATACTTTGGGTTAGGTATCTACCTGGTATCACGTCCAAAGGGGTGTTTGCTTTTTCTCTTTTTTTCTAGTTTTTTGTGGATGTGAGCACGTCGCTGTGCTTGTTCTTTTTTGAAAGTCTGGCCCTTTTTTTTTTTCTTTTTTTTTTCCAGAAAAGTACCAGAAAAGCAAACAATACCGAACCCAGGCTCGGCAAAACTCAGTGCGCACTGCGCAGTGAAAATCAGGGTCGGCAAAAATAGGCTCGGAGGTAGTTGTTGTTTAAGCACACGTCCTTCTGGTCCTGGCTCCTTTTCCATTCTGGGGAGCTTCAATCCGGTTCCTATTGCCCCGGCAAGTCGAGAAAGTGCATCAATTACACTACACACGCGTGCCTCCTTCCATTTGGCCAAAGGATCCCTGAACAGCGTTGGTTGCTCCCTGTTTCTGGAGGATCGACTTTCAGCTTGCCCTTCTCATGCATCGGCCCGCGGGTGTCAGCACGTTCGGAGGCCGCTGTTTTTTTTTTTCAACGGCACCCTACACCGCGCGTCCCCTCCCGAGTTTTGCTTGTGGCGACATCAACTTTCTGCAAGGCTGGGGCCGTGTAATAGCCGTTTGACACTGCTGTGGCACACCTTCTGATCATAAAGACCTCGATGGGCTCTGGGATCTCTTTGTTTGGGTGTTCTGCCTCCATAGTGCAGTTTCTCTCCTTTTTTTTGCAAAAGAGGGGAGCAGCCTTGAGATATCATTATCGAGCGGAGCGGCCCTAGGTAGTTCAGAATTTTAGAAATTTGTAGTCATCTGCTGTGAGCGGAGTTCGAACTCAGGTCTGTATATTTCCACGATTCAGCTCAGGGGTGTGTACCAACTGAGCTAGGCCAGTTGGTACAGTGCAGTTTTCTGGATTACGTCAGTCCTTGAATTTCAGCCACTGTCGTTAGTATCCTCCACCTTGTGCGCAACTAGCAAGACTCTTATGAAAGTCGACAGGCATGGCTGACTCGTCTCCGGGAAGCTCTGTATTGCGTCATTGACGTTTCGCCATCTGCAAAGAATCTCTACTTCCGTCATGCTCTTCGATGTGAACCAGACTATATCGCGTGCATTCTTGGTATTGTCCACAGTCCGGCTGCATTTTTCCTTCCAGATTGCTCACAATGTGGCTTTGTGAATCAGTGTGTACCACTGTCCTTCCGGCTTGCATAACTGGGATGGGGTATTAGTCCATAGGAGAAGCTGGATTACTGCTTTCTGGTCTCCAGAAGGGTTTTGGGGGGTCAGGTCATTATCCCCATAACATAGGCAAAACAGCTCCATTAGCTAAGGCTGTGATGTACAAAGTACTACAAACTAAACTCTTGACAATCACACAGGAATTTCTAGGTGGAGGGAGAAACATATACTGGTGAACCATGGACAAGAAGTGAGAACATGTGTGTGTGTGTGTGCACGTGTGTGTGTGCATGTG